ATTTTTCTTTCTAACATGGAGAAAAAAAATCGCTGTGCTTATTTAATTTAGTTATATTTACATAATGTATTTTTACAATTTTTTCCCCTATTTTTTATTTAATAAAATTTATTCTGATCAATACTTCTGACATATATTTAACTAAAAAAAATATTGAACTTTGAACTTAAATATTATTCATGTTAAAATACTAACTGTGCTAAATATAAACTTAAATTCTTCATTTATATGATAATTAATTTAATTATATTCAACTAAAACATAAACAAGCTTATTTATTTACTTATATTTAAAATTAAAATATAACTTTTATTAATATTTATATTATTATTTATTATTATTATTATTATTTTTAAAGAAATTCTATGATTTATTATGACAAAGTTTCTTCGTGTTGTTTATATTTTAAGGAATTTAAATACATTTATCGATCGAATATTTAGTTTTTTTAATATTAATGTGTATCTGTTTTAAAGTTTTAATTGATTTTTAATGTTTGATATATTTTTTTTTTAAGTACAGTACTGTATTTATTTAAAGAAATATTCGATAATAATTTATTTGTTTATTTACTTAAAATTTAATTAAAAACTTTGATTTTTGGTTAAAAAATAAACATTTATTTGTTTATAAATAATTATTTAGCTAAGAATTTATTATAATTAAGTAAAATATGTACAGCAAAACCTGTAAACAACGGCCACAGACGAGAGCATTAAAAAAATGGATGTTGTTCGAAGGTTAACGCTGTTTAGAAGTTATTTTGTTTTCATTTTTGTTCGAAAAATGTTCATGAAAATAAAATGGCAGCTGTTTAGAGGTGGGCATTATTGGGAGGGTTGATACTGTAGTCCATTCTCGAGATTATTGTATTAAATAAATAACATTTTAAAGGTTTTATTATGACTGAAATAACGAAGAAAACTGCAAATAATATATTAACACGAGGTATAAAATGCACCAAAAGTATATTGTAATATATTAAACATCTAGGGGTGGCCCAAAATTTAGTTAACCGAGATGTACTTTTAAGAACTATTAATTAAAACCGTTTATAAAAATAATATATTTCGGTTAAATGACTTTTGGGCCAACTCTGCATGATTAATACATTCTGAGTTTAAAGAATACGATAATTATACAGTCTTATGGTGAATGTATTAAAATTTGAGGTCAGTTATATATAAAAATTAACGGTTATGTATGTATAATTATAATTAAGATATCGCTGAAGGAATTAATTTATATCCAATTTCACATTATCTTAGTGAATATTCATTGTTTTTTCTGGTGATTTTCTTGTATTTTATTACATATAAATCTTCCATTCATTGTTTTACAATAAGAGTAATATCATATTAAACAATAAAATATATATATATATACATTACAAGTCAATAGGAATGTCTTCAAGCAGAAATTTCTAATGTTTTCAAGAAGAAATGGAGTGAAATATAAAATTTCTTACTTCCTGTAATAAGTAAAATATCTTCCAAAATTATTATATTAATTACAGGCAAAGCTTAGAAAAGTCGTATTAATTTTTCATTAAATAAATGTTTTGTTCAAAACTTCAGATATCCCATTATTTTTGTTAGAGAAGTGGAAAGAGCATCTGCAGTCTTTGTTCTTGACTTTTCATCGTACATCACCAGTATAATTGATGAAGTTCGATAAATAAAGACTGAAAGGTGAATTTACTTGAACTCTAATGTTTGATTTCTCTGAAAAGTTTTCTATAACTTCTAAAGTGTTTTTAAATGTTACAATGGATTAGATCATTTCCATTTCCATTAATGTTCTTCCGTATGAGACGAAGAAAAGAAGGATAGAACTTTTAACAATTTAAGTTTTGTAATTAAGATTTAAAATGATGATATTTCGTAAAAGCTATACACATAAATCAGAGATATGAAACTTTTACTTGTCGCTTGCATTTTTAATGGGGTTATATTCACTTCCCATTCAGTTCTAGTTCATGTAAACATTAAAATTTCCTGCAAAATGTCTCTAAAACAGAATACAGAATACGTAAATGCCTAACCGAATAGAATAGTATACTTACTAATATACCTAATCCTTTCTTCTGTCCTCATTCTTTAAATATTTAAAATACCTTATAAAAAATTTGTCAAATCTTTTCATCTAAGAGAGTATTCTCATCCCATTTTCTCATATATATTTTACATTACTTTTAGGCTTATGTTGTTAAGTGGGAATTGGATTGATTATAAGCCAACACAAGGTGAGCTACCAAGAGGAGAGTGTCTACTTTCTTAAAAAATTTTCTATAGGAACTAGCCCCTATTTAGCTATTAGACAAGTGAAGAAAACACGGAAAACATCACGTGGCCAGCCTACTGGTCAGGCACGAACCCGCGACCAATTACCAATGTTCAGTGGTTTTATCCAGTCGTCCATTGGTGGTCTCTTTATATGGTTAAGAAATAAAATTCATTTATGACCATTCATCAATATAACGAGCAAAAATTATCGTCACAATGCCGGGCTGCCATTTTTAACCATATTTTTAATTTATTTAATTTAAAATATATATTTTCCAACCTCAAATGAGTAGTGTTTTGCCCCTGTAAATCATACTTCCCCTGGTAACAACATAGTCATGCCGATCATCTATATACCATTCGGGGGAAAATTTTTGAATTAAAATCAAGTGATTTCCGGTCTAAACCAAACGTTATATACGGGGTCTCTTTTTCCTATGCTTTCCATATCCGGTTTCAATTTTTATCTATCTAACAACGTTCTCAAGATTAAAATAGGACAGACAGATAGAGAACTAGACGGATGAAAGTAGGAATTTATATTGAACTCCAAAAACATTTAGTTTTAAGTTTGTGATTTACAATAGGAAAAATGTCATAATTATATACAATATTTAAATTTGATATTATTGTATTTTACTGAGATCTTCAACCCAAATTAAGCACCACTGCTTTAAGCAGATATTTACAATTCCTTTCCACGTATTGTTTGGTAAGTTACAGATTAGTCTATTCTAGTTGTTAAAGATCTTTAGAATAAGATTCCACGAAATAATATATATAATATTTCAAAATAGCAGATATAAATCTTCTAAAAATCATTTTAAAAAATTTTTGGCATCTATCACTGAATGGTTGGCAATGAAATGAAAAGTAGAACTCTTCAATTCAGATGTACAAAAATAAAAAATTAAAAAAAAAATAAAGTGATATATTTGAAAAGTTTCTATTTTAAAAATACTTTTACAGTTTTATGTGGGTTACTTTTGAATTGAAATTCTATTATTCAAATTTTGCTGTGATACAATATAAAATTTTTATATATTAACTTTGTTTCGAATACAACATAGATGAGATTTATGTATTTTTAAATATGTTTACATAACATTTCAAATTTTTATATATAAATATTATAATTTCACAAAAATAAAATAGTTTTATAAAAGTTTTATACATGACACTATATATAGGCCTATATATACACACACACATATATATTGTATAAGAATAATACATAAAATGCATAATTTTATTTCCATAATTTTAAATACATAACATTTATCTACACAAATTCTATTATCATAAAATTATTAAAACTTTTACCACCTTTAAAAAATATACACTATTTTCATAATATATATATATATATATATATAGGGCCTATATTTAAAATTCTAATGTTAAAAACTTTATTTAAATTATGGAATTATATATTAATGTTATTATAAAATTAATTTTAAGATGAGAAATAAATAATTTGGTAGTTTCTCCTCTTTCTCTTTGACTGAAACTTTATATACACAAGAGAATTGCAAGTTAGTGTACTCGAAGAAGAAATTTCAGCAATGGCGTCATAAAATTGACTTTTATAAAATTTTTAAAAAATTATATTTTCTGCAATATCTTACATTAAATGATTTTTTTTGAATATAGAAGTCGAGTCTTTTGAGAATTATACTTATAAATTTTTGCTTAAATATAAGAATTTTTATTATTTTTATAATGTAAAAGTAATTGCTTTTTTTAAAAAAAAATCCTTTATTAATATATAAATTTTTTTAATTTTAAAACTACCAAGTTTTAAATGAAATTATTACATTTTTTTAAATATAAATTAATCTTAATAATGGCTTCTTATATATAGAAATTGTGATAATTTTTATATTTAATTTTATGAACTAAGATTGGAGTTTTGAGACATTTTCTGTAATATTTATAAATATATTTTATACCTGTTTGCTATAAAGTATAATATTTGCTGAATTAATCATTATAAAAAAAAATAATATGAGGCTAAGAGGGCCTATAGATAAAATACAATAATAATAATAATAATAAGCATGTTTCCTAATATACAAGGCCTCATGAATCTTGTATGTATAAGGCCAAGCAGTGTCTTGATTAAGTCCTATACACTATAATTCATGTATTATATATTGTTTCTCATTAATTATACCTTAAGAAAAATTCGATTAATCAAGAATTTTGTTTTAAGTTTATTTAAGTATTATTAACTAAGGATATTACACGTGATAAACTTGGCATTCTTCAATTTTAATTATTAATTAATTATTTTGTATTACGTACTACGAATTACTGGATATTTGAAAAGCACTAATTAAATCAAATATAATTAAAGATTTAATTGAATGTTTAATATAATTAGATAATTTTGTAAATCTGCTTTGTGTATAATTGACCATAATTATTATTCTATCAATAGAAGAAAATATTTTTCTAATAAATTTTATTATAGAGTTTTCTGAATATTTTTTACTATATTTTAAAATAGTTAAATCACTTTAAATTTTATATTATACAATTTATAAAGAAAGAGAAGATTATAAATGTTTATACCATTCCTATTTCCTACTGTTCTTTTTTTTATAGAATGATATATTCTTATTTTTTTTTCTGTATAATTCAACAAAGTATTGATTAAAAATATACTCAGCTTGTATGAACTGTAAGTGACTTTTTGTTTCTCTCCCACAGCCAAATAGTGAAGTGTTGTATGCGGAGCTGTCATTTCCAACCGCACCTCGGCAACACCTCTTGAGACAAGCTGGCCCATCAATAGAATACGCTGAGATCGACTTTGTTCGTTCAAGAATGCCACAAAGAAGGCCACCGAGCCCAGATACGGGACCATTCACCAATATAACGAGCAAAAATTATCGTCACAATGCCGGGCTGCCATTTTTAACCATATTTTTAATTTATTTAATTTAAAATATATATTTTCCAACCTCAAATGAGTAGTGTTTTGCCCCTGTAAATCATACTTCCCCTGGTAACAACATAGTCATGCCGATCATCTATATACCATTCGGGGGAAAATTTTTGAATTAAAATCAAGTGATTTCCGGTCTAAACCAAACGTTATATACGGGGTCTCTTTTTCCTATGCTTTCCATATCCGGTTTCAATTTTTATCTATCTAACAACGTTCTCAAGATTAAAATAGGACAGACAGATAGAGAACTAGACGGATGAAAGTAGGAATTTATATTGAACTCCAAAAACATTTAGTTTTAAGTTTGTGATTTACAATAGGAAAAATGTCATAATTATATCCAGTATTTAAATTTGATATTATTGTATTTTACTGAGATCTTCAACCCAAATTAAGCACCACTGCTTTAAGCAGATATTTACAATTCCTTTCCACGTATTGTTTGGTAAGTTACAGATTAGTCTATTCTAGTTGTTAAAGATCTTTAGAATAAGATTCCACGAAATAATATATATAATATTTCAAAATAGCAGATATAAATCTTCTAAAAATCATTTTAAAAAATTTTTGGCATCTATCACTGAATGGTTGGCAATGAAATGAAAAGTAGAACTCTTCAATTCAGATGTACAAAAATAAAAAATTAAAAAAAAAATAAAGTGATATATTTGAAAAGTTTCTATTTTAAAAATACTTTTACAGTTTTATGTGGGTTACTTTTGAATTGAAATTCTATTATTCAAATTTTGCTGTGATACAATATAAAATTTTTATATATTAACTTTGTTTCGAATACAACATAGATGAGATTTATGTATTTTTAAATATGTTTACATAACATTTCAAATTTTTATATATAAATATTATAATTTCACAAAAATAAAATAGTTTTATAAAAGTTTTATACATGACACTATATATAGGCCTATATATACACACACACATATATATTGTATAAGAATAATACATAAAATGCATAATTTTATTTCCATAATTTTAAATACATAACATTTATCTACACAAATTCTATTATCATAAAATTATTAAAACTTTTACCACCTTTAAAAAATATACACTATTTTCATAATATATATATATATATATATATAGGGCCTATATTTAAAATTCTAATGTTAAAAACTTTATTTAAATTATGGAATTATATATTAATGTTATTATAAAATTAATTTTAAGATGAGAAATAAATAATTTGGTAGTTTCTCCTCTTTCTCTTTGACTGAAACTTTATATACACAAGAGAATTNCTCGGCAACACCTCTTGAGACAAGCTGGCCCATCAATAGAATACGCTGAGATCGACTTTGTTCGTTCAAGAATGCCACAAAGAAGGCCACCGAGCCCAGATACGGACGAAGACGATTTTGGTATTACAACTGAATGGCCACTCGTTTACAACGTGGGTCTCCAGCGTAATAAAAAGGTCTATTATATACCCATATACGAGATTTTTTTTCTTCCTTTATTCCCATGCAGATCGGTGGAGAAATTTTGGTTAAAAGAAACTCTTTGAATAAAACTGTTAATCGTCATTGTTTCTAAAGTGATTAATGTGATGAACATTACTGGATAAGCTCAAGCAGTTGAGTGACGTTCAACATGCATTATTACCCTGAATGGCCATCTTCCGTGACCTTCCTAATCTAACACACTTGGCTGCATGTGTTAATCAATTTTAATCAATTTGATAGAACCCAGAGTATGTGGCGAAATGAAAATACAACACTTTTCTAAGCTTATTTAGCACAGATTGTGACTATTTAGCGGGAAAAATAATAAAAAGAATATTGTACAGATCATTTATCATTTTACTTTATTAAATTTTTCTAATATAATATTTTATCTTAATTTTTACTCGAATATTTGATGAATTATTAATTTTAATAAAAAAAATTTTTACTTTATGATCATTAACTCGCTCTAAATAACTTTTATAAAGTAAAATTAATTTATATATTTATTTATTTATTTTTTATTTTTTAACTTACTCAATGGGTTTATATAATATTCTGTTCTAATTCAATTTTTATCTCTTAATTTTTGCATTTTTTATCGTTGCTCTATTTTTTATTTTGAATTACCAAATTTACCACACGCTTTATCTTGGCTAAAACAATAAAACTGAAAGAATAAAACAAGTTTCAGTTCAATTTTTCAGCATATCTTTCTTATTTCTTTCAGCTTTACATACAATCGCATTATATTTAATGTAAGGTGGCCTCTCCCATTGGGGACAGAAGAAAAAAATTATTAAATTATATAATTTTATATTGTACAACAAAGCAAATTAACACACACATATATATATAAAATTAAGGTATCCATTACACAATTCAACACTCAATTCTCTTGGCTTAATGTTTAAATTTAGAAGATTGAACACACATTTTAACTGGGAGTAAAGGTAATTTAGTATAATATGGGAGGAATAATGGAAATTCCGTCTTTTTCCTGAAGCATAGAACTACATTATGCTGTAATCTTCATTATTCCAATCCGTTAATTTTCCTTCTTAAACTTATTTCCATTTAAATAAATAGTTTTTAATGTTATTTACATAGAAAGACAAACTAAAACTTTCATTACTTTTTTGTATATTCTACATTGTTTCCAAGCACAAAATGTAAGGATTAATTGATGAAAACATTAATTTTTTTAACGTCTTTTAAGTAAGATTACGTGTAACGTGTATATATGTATATATAAAAACAATCAAATTGAAAATTTATTTTCGTTTAAGTTTTCATTTCCTAACCTTTAAAATTAAGATTAAAATATTTTACGTTTACAAATTTATCTCAATTTTCATTAATTTTCCTATTAAGAATCTCTGGAGTATCCTCTAATATATCTTTTTTTAATGTATTTAATTACAGAAATTAAAACCTACCATAGAATATTCGACTACTAGTACTCCATTGTAAGTAGAAACGATGGAACAAATGTCGTCTTGGAGGACATAAAATGGCGACTTCAACATGATGCATATCTCCGTCCTTGAAATCCATCGAGGATTATCTTCACAGTCGTCTACTTCCATAAATCTTTTGGAACATGAATCATTATTAACAGACAGGTAAGGATAAAAATAACGTACCATTCGTCTCATTCCAAATAATCTTACATTATCACTGCTAAGAATTGTTGCGAGAGAGTCCTTTCTAAGTATAACTTTTATTCCCGTAATTTTATCAAGAAGTTTTTAGGAAAAAAAAAATCAATTCTTTTATCTTCTCTTTTCATATTTCTTTTCTATAACAATAAATAATATTTTCAAAGTTCAATTCTATCAAATTTCTAAACCAAAAGAAGAAAAAAAAATTAAAATATATAAATGAATTTTTGCTATTAAAATATAACCAAAATTTCAATATTAGCTTTACATTTTAACATAAAATTGCTTCGTTTCTAAGAATTTTTTCTTCTTAGACAGGTTTCTGTTTTATTATTAAGCTTCCGTTTTGGACAGGTTTTACTGTGTATTTAAATCTAAAATGTTGATATTATGATTTTATTTTTTAAATATTCGTTTTAATTTTAGGTGGATGAAGACAGATTTAGAATCAAAAATAAATAATAATAATAATAAAATAGCAGTCCTCATTCACGTTGATAAATTCAACTGTCATAAAAGAGGATCGGGAACATCACTGCCACATTTGTAATATGTTCATCACATTTATACATTTTCTCATAAAACGGTTTTTTCGACGTCTTTTTTGAAATAAAAAAAAAGNATTATAATAAAACCTGTGTAAACCGGACTCGCACGATACCGTTTAGAACAAGTTTTTTTTTCTTTTTTCTTTTTAAACACAGTAAATCGCTTCGTTTCTAAGAATTTTTTCTTCTTAGACAGGTTTCTGTTTTATTATTAAGCTTCCGTTTTGGACAGGTTTTACTGTGTATTTAAATCTAAAATGTTGATATTATGATTTTATTTTTTAAATATTCGTTTTAATTTTAGGTGGATGAAGACAGATTTAGAATCAAAAATAAATAATAATAATAATAAAATAGCAGTCCTCATTCACGTTGATAAATTCAACTGTCATAAAAGAGGATCGGGAACATCACTGCCACATTTGTAATATGTTCATCACATTTATACATTTTCTCATAAAACGGTTTTTTCGACGTCTTTTTTGAAATAAAAAAAAAGAAAAACAGGATCCATATGACCAAACAATGGAAGAAAGAAAGAAAGAAAGAAAAAAAAAATACATTCGTTATAAATAAATAAATAAATAACACATATCTAAATATAGGCTACTACTTAAGGAAGAAGAGTTATATATAAATATATAATAATGTTGAAGGTGACGTTTGTTGAAACCAAAAAAAAAAATATAGTAAAATGCAGTTTTAAAATTGTAAATATATATATATATATACTTATATAAAACCAGTGCCTTTTTTCGATTGATGAAGCCTAGTTAAAGTTCCTGTTGGTCGTATTTTTCATAATAAATCTAGGCATGAAAGAATTTTACAAATTGACGATTTTATCATTTATTGTGACGTAGATTATACCTTATTTACGAAAAGAAAAGATCCCTTTAAAAAAAAAAAGGGGGTGAAAAACCTGTTGATATTGTTTAAATCTCAACGACAGAAACGAAATGGATTCTTAAGGGTAATTTTTTTTCCTTGTTTTTTTTTTTAGTGGAAGAAGAATTTAAAAAAAATTCGCAAAATTAATTGAATAAATTAATCAGAAAAATAAAATATACAAAAATTTTTTCTTAGATTATTTTATTTGCGAGATTCTAAATTACCTTCTGATATTTATATATATATAAAAGTGTTTTTAATCACGTTTTTTTCTAAAGAAAAATCCCTTAAATAAAAAAAAAAGAGAGAAATTTTTGTGATTTAGCATCTAAAAAATTTTTTATTACGATTTTTCTATCGAGAAATAATTAAAAGTTTTTAGTTTATACTCATAAAAAACAGCGTGCAAATACAGGAAAACCTCTAAACAACGGCCACACATATATATAAAAGCTTATACTGTATTTAAAAAAATGTCCGTTGTTAGGAGGTGGCTGTTATTAGAGGTTCGACTTTATGTATAAATTTACAATTAACAAAAATCAAACGTTTATATGCAAATTAAATAAACATAAACCTCAAAAAAAATCATGTTGAATAATGAAGATATTCAATGTTTTTTCACTTTATTAATAATAAAAAAAAGGTTATATATAGATAGATTTATGTAGTATTTAGTTTAAAATATTAAATTATTTAATTATTATTATTATTATTTCTCTTAATTTATGTACAAGATATGTTTATTTTTAAGAATTGATATCAAAATATGTCGTTTGAGAATAAATATTTGTAATTATTAATAATGAATTAAGTGCTTTGATTACAATTAAACTACAAAACGTTGGAAGGATTAATTGTATCTTATCTAATTCGAAACTTTATATATCATTTCCTTCTGTTAAATGATGATAACATTAATAAGGAAGTTATAAAGGCGTCAGACAAGACATTTACATTAAGTATAATATATCATTTGTTCCATAATATTGCATTAAATCGATTCTATTCAATTAAATCAACTTCAAATAAAATTCCATAATAATAATAAACAAATCTTAATTAATCATTAAGTGTAAATTAAATCATTTCATAAATTAAATTTAATTAATAATTTAGTTTAAGACGTTTAAATTTTCTAATGTTATCAACTTTTTCCGTTCGTTTTAATTAACGTTTTCTTATTTTTAAACAATAAATGCCGATTTTATATTAAAAAAATTTATCCGTATTTATTATTATTATAATTATAATTA